CTGTTTATTTTATTTCAATGGGCTTGGCCGTGATGTTTATTAAAGCTTGAAATATGGGGCATAACACCATACTTGATAACGGTAACCTCTCCACAAACTTTTCACTTAACTTCAAAACTTTGTCACTTAACGTCAAAACTTTTCACTTTCACCACCACTTAATTGCCAGTCAGAAATAGCAGACCTGACTACCTTTTATATACCACCAAAAATAACATATATCCTTCCTCAGAACTTGAACCTGAGAATGACTTTGCCCCCAAGCTTCAAACACAACAACAATACTTATAAAAAAAGTTAAACAAATAGTGTAGGGCAGGTGGGTCCGTCCGAGTTTCTCCCGTCCTGTCTATAACAGCTGACAGGGAATTAACCTGCTCAGTTCAATTTATTCTTACCTGTTTTCCTGCGCTTTGCTGGCTCACTGCCAGCCACCAATCCTCACAGCTCCTGTCCCCCAGCAACAGATGAGTCACTTAAAACTGGCCAGTTACTTGTCCCTACTTTGCCCAACAGCTGCTTAGGGGTCATGAATAGAGATGTCGCAAACCGTTCGCGAACTTCCCGTGAACGGCTCGCCACGGTTCGCGGCGAACTCCGGTCAGCTGACACATCCTGGCCAATCTCCAGAAGACCCTCCCTCCCAGACCCTCCCACCTCCTGGAAAGAATCCATGTTGAAGGCAGCTTCAACATGAATGCTGTCCAGGAGGTTGGAGGGTCTGGGAGGGAGGGTCTGCTGGAGATTGGCTGGGATGTGTCAGCTGACCGGAGTTCGCCGCGAACGGTTCGTGGCGAACCGCGGCGAGCCGTTCGCGGGAAGTTCACGAACGGTTCGCGACATCTCTAGTCATGAACTAAAATTAAACTTTAATTGAACTACTAAATGCCTTTTTAAAAATAATAATAATAATAATAATAATTTAATTAACCCTCTATTGCCACCACACATATAAGCCACAGTGCTTAATGCCTGTGGCATCTTTATGTCCAATAGGCAACAATTTGCATAAATAACTTAGACCACACAATAAACACAAACACTGTTTATTTTATTTCAGTGGGCTTGGCCGTGATGTTTATTAAAGCGTGAAACATAGGGCATAACACCATACTTGATAACGGTAACCTCTCCACAAACTTTTCACTTAACTTCAAAACTTTTTCACTTAACTTAAAAACTTTTCACTTTCTCCACCACTTAATTGCCAGTCAGACATAGCAGACCTGACCGCCTTTTATATACCACCAAAAATACCATATATCCTTCCTCAGAACTTGAACCCGAGGATTACTTTGCCCCCACCGCCTCAGCTGAGGTAGCCCTACCATAGCTGAGGCCCCCTATAAAAATATCCAGACCTATGTCTGACAAATGAACCTGGCCTTCATGAAAAAGACCCTGTTCATTCTGATCTAATTTGTAGAGTCTGTAAGTAAACCCTCCCAACTATGGCAAAATCTTGATAATGACAAATTTAACTTCTTACACACTCTCTCCAGTGCTTTTAAATCCCTGTTCACCAACCAACGCCTGCGCTGTACCACTTCCGACCAAACCAAAATAGTGTAGGGAAATAATCTTGTCACTTCCAAACAAATATTTTTCATATTACGTAATAAAAATACAGATTTAACCACACTAATGTCATTACCACCCATATGAATTATCAACACATCTGGTGCAGGCCAAACCTCTGCACACTCCATTATAAGGTCAATTAGCTGGTAAATCCAAAGACCACCTACACCTTTCCAATATACAGTGATGTTTTCTTGCTGGAAGTCCAAATTCATTCCATAAGTCCTTTCTCTTGCCCTTGACATGGCCCGTGAGAAAAAAGAATGACCTATAACCCAAACATTTGTTACGGTACCTAAGAAAATAACAGAGTTAGGGAAAGAAAAAGTACATTCATTCATATTATTCCTAACATATAACTTAAAACAATCTTTGATTCCCAATTCTTTTTATAGCATTCGCTCCGAAACCCAAGTTTGCTGCTTCGGTTGCTGCCCCTATTCTGAAAGAGTGCGTAGTAAATTTTCTTCTATAGCCAAGTTTTTTAAAACATAACTGCAAAACCCTCTGAAATTGAAAACGTGTAAGCGAAGATCCTGATATATGCACCAGCAGTGGGACTTGAACCTGTGGGTGAACAGCTAGATAATCACACAGCGTCTCTACTGGGCAAACACTGCCCTCCCTGATACTTGCCAGATGAATCCATCTGCCTTTTCCCATTTGATCAGTCTTAGAAGATTGCAACCAGATATTAACTTTTGCATCTCTTATCAGCACATTCTCAAACTGTAAACCTGACAGTTTGAACTTACTGAAAGAGACCTGCTTGCTGATCCTGAGTGCTGCAAAAAAGGCTAACGAAAATGCTGCTGCAAACAACTTTACTTCGAATTGTGAATAACAAACAGTGTTTAAAACCTCCAGCAGATCTCCTAACACTGAGTATGTGAAAGGCCTCCCAACGTCAGCCCTTTGAAACTTTTTAAAATAACCCTTTAACAATTGTTTGATCACAAATGCTTGTACTACTACTGGTTTGCCTAACAGCCGTAAAAAATATGATACCCCTGCTAATCTTCTGGAAATGGCGTTTTTTGATACACCATTATTAATACATTGAACTACAAATGAGAATGCAGCTTCAGTATTTCCCCCCACTGGATCCACACATATCAACTTATGGAACCTATACCATTCGTTCCAAGCTGCTACATATGCCCTCCAAGTGCCCTGTGCCAGTGCTTTCATGAGAAATTGCCCGGCTCTTCCCATATCAATTGCCAAAGGCCGCTTGGCAATTCCACGCTCTTTTCTTCTGCATCCGGGACTAAGCTCTTGAAAGCGTTGAGCTGAAAACGAGAAATAGCGTCAGCTATTTTATTCTCATTACCTGGAATATGTACAGCTTTTAACCAAATATTATGCTGTAAACATAATAACACTAAATTTCGCAACAAATTAATAACAAAGCAACATTTAGCATGCATGGAATTAATGACCTGTACCATTGACTTATTGTCACAGTGGAATAGTATCCATTTATTTTGTAACTCTTCTCCCCATATCAAGATTGCTGTCACAATTGGAAACCATTCCAACAATGTTAAATTTTGGTAAATCCTTGCTCTATCCAATCATCCGGCCACTGAAAAAAGGCCCATCTTTTTCTCCAGTATATACCAAAACCGACTGACCCTGCAGCATCGACAAATAATTCCAAGTCTCCATTAACCTGAAACTCTGATTATAATAATGAACAACCATTATACTGCTGCAGGAATTTTTTCCACACTTTCAAATCATTTTTAATTTCAGCGGATATTCTTACAAAACAGTAAACAGATTTTTTTTTTCTTAGTGCAAGCCAGCGCCATACGTCTACAAAAAAATCTACCTATAGGCATGATACGACTTGCAAATGCCAAAAGGCCTAGCAATGACTGAAACTGCTTTACTGTTGCTTTTTTGCTTGCTAAGAAAAAACAGATTTTTTCCTTGAGCTTAGCAACCTTTTCTGTCGGCAGCTTACATTCAAAACCCATTGAATCAATCGTTATCCATAAGAATTGCAGACTTGTAACTGGTCCAATCGTTTTTTCAACTGCTAGCGGGATGCCAAACCATTTTGCTAAATTACAGAAAAATTCTAACAACATATGACATTCATTACTATAACTAGGACCAATGAACAAAAAGTCATCTAGATAGTGCACCACAGAATATATACCGGTCTCCAAATTAACAACCCATTCTAGGAATGAAGAAAAAAAACCTCAAAATAAAAACAGGAAATTGAACATCCCATTGGCAAACATTTATCAAAATAAAACTTTCCCAGAAATGAAAAACCCAGAGAATTGAAACTTTCCGGATGCACCGGCAGTAGCCCAAAGGCTGACTCAATGTCCACCTTTTTACATTAGCTCACCCGGCCCAAATTTTCTTACCCATCTGAGTGCATCATCAAAATGCGCATAAGTCACTGAGCAAGTATCCTTATCAAATTCATCATTCAATGACGCACCAGAGGGGTAAGACAAATGGTGAATTAGCCTGAATGACCTAGGCTCTTTTTTTGGAATTAAACCTAGCGGAGAAAGGCGAAATTCAGCAAAAGGGGGGTCATCAAAAGGCCTCTGCATCCTGCAAAACAGACTTTAAATTATTAACTACTAAACAACTTGAATCAGAAAACCTTCTTCAAAACCTTTCAGCAACTACCTAGCTCTCTCCTTGTTTGGATACACCTGAAGGTATGGCCGCAACCTTTCCAGCTGCACTGGAGTCCATGCCTTTATGAACTTACTCTCTTCCTTGGCCGGGCCCTGCCGCCATTCTTTTAAACTGAAAGGCAGAATGATTACCCGCACATTAAGAGCATTCATGCCTAAAACTGCATGTATTGGGCCACTTACAATGTCCTTCATTAAAAGTCCAACATAAGCCTTTCTTTATTGATCCTAATGTATTAGACATGCCGACAGCAGTAGGCGCTTTTATTGCCATTCTTTGAGGCAGCATCAGGTTCAGCCACAGACCAAAGTCCTTCATTCCCCATTTAAGGGAAGGGTGGACAGCCATCTTTTGTCTAAACAGTTCATCATAGCTAAACCATGCCAGACTCCCCAAAATTTTTAGTGCCTCTTGTGTGATGTCAACATGTTGGAATAGCCGCTACATAACTTAGGTGTCTTCTCTCCCATTACGGATGAGAAAATACAAAAGGCTTGAAGCCAGTTATTAAAATTACGCTGGATTAATTTTCTTTGTCTTTGTCATTTTCTGCCCTGTGAAAGTCTTTTGCCGAAGGCAATAGTGACAGTAAATCAATATATTCTCCCTTCCATATTTTTTCTCTTACATGAGCCGTTAAGGAGCAGAGCTTATTTTTTACAGTATTCGTTAATAAAAACGTATTTCTTTGAGCTACTTCTCTCGCTACCCCAAGCCTGAGCTGGACTTTTTTCTTTAAATACCTTAACCATCCCAGTTACCGCTGCTAACACCTCACTAATCCTAGCCAGTTCAGCAGTATTTCGTTCATACTCCCCACCTGACGTCCTAGCTCTGCCTTGCTCTTCTATTTCTTCTATGATTGGCATGTCGTCCAGATAACATGCGCTTCCTTCGTTCGAACTGTCTTCCATTCTTGATATGCTGTCCTCAGCCTGGCCCTTGACTCTACCCTGACCCACCATAGGCACAGGGGAGGAGGGCAGGCGTTTCTTACATCTTCTTTTCTTCCCAGGAGCTGATTCTTGCATCTCTGGAGCCAACTTCTTGACCTGCATGCATTCTCCTTTTCGTCCAGCAGGTGGTGCTCTTCCCTGGCTGTACTGCATTTGAACACGTCTCTTTGTGGCTGAGCACGACATGCCGCTGGACCGAACCTCCGTCACGCGACGGGAACTCTCTTTTGGGGATAGGATGGTGCTACTGTATGCTCCCTTACAGTGCTGGAAGCCCCTGGCGCCGAGATGAGGCAGTTCTTGATCCAGGATTCCCCTCCAGGCAAGCGCAGGATCTCAGCAACGCGGGACATCAAATCCTCTGAAGACATGCTACGGCTGGAGCAGGTGAGGTGCTGGGGGTCCGTCCGAGCTTCTCCCGTCATGTCAATAACAGCTGACAGGGAATTAACCTGCTCAGCTCAATTTATTCTTCCCTGTTTTCCTGCGCTTTGCTGGCTCATTGCCAGCAACCAATCCTCACAGCTCCTGTCCCCCAGCAACAGCTGAGTCATTTAAAACTGCCCATTTTCTTTTCCCCACTCTGCCCAACAACTGCTTAGGGGTCATGAAGTAAAACTAAACTTTAATTGAACTACTAAATGCCTTTTTTTTTTTTTAAATGTAATTTAATTAACCCTCTATTGCCACCACACATATAGAAAAGTTGATTTTATTGCCACCAATTTCACTCGTTAGTCTCAGATTGATATGGTTTAATAAAAATCAATAAATAAAAGCAATAAAATCAACTTTCTAGATCTCACTATCTCTCTGTCAGAGGGAGGGATACTTACATCTACCCTCTTTCGGAAACCTACAGCAACCAATAATCTGCTGAACTGGACAAGTCACCATCCACTCCCCCTCAAAAAAGGGATTCCAGTGGGACAGTACTTACGATTAAGACGTAACTGCTCCACCGTAGAAGATTTCAAATTGAAGGCGAAGACTTTGCAACACCAGTTCAAACAAAAGGGGTACCCAAATAAATGCTTAAAAAATGCATATAAACGGGCACTACTGTCAGAACGCAAAGATCTCTTATTGGAAAGGAAGGTAGAGACATCACAGGAGATTATCAGGTGCATAGGGAATTTTGATGCAGGTTGGCATCAAATTATGAGTATCCTTGATAGGTTTTGGCCCCTCTTACATCAAGACCCACACCTCCATAGGGTGATTACACCCAAGGCATCAGTAACAGCACGAAGGGGGCGCAATATCAAGGATATTCTAGTCCCTAGTCACCTCAAAACAGCAGCTCCAAAAACTTTGTGGCTGAAGTCTCCTGTCCTAGGCACTTACCAATGCGGTAGATGCAAGGCGTGTAAGTTCATACATAGACCCTCCAAAACATTCTCAGATTCCTTGGGTGTACAAGAATTTAAAGTTCATAATTTCTTCAATTGTCAGTCCAAGGGACTTGTATACTTACTTATATGCTCATGCAACAAGCTATACGTGGGAAAAACCTTTCGTAAATTCAAATTTAGAATTAGGGAACATGTCAATTCAGTTAACCCTGGAAGACAAATAGATACCCCTATCTCTAAACATCTGAAATCCCACCACGGGGGGTCCCCACTAGGGATCAGTTTTTGTGGCATCGAAAAAGTCACACTTGGACCAAGAGGGGGAGATTTAGATAAAAGACTACTTCAAAGAGAGAGTTTCTGGATTTATAAGCTCAAAACCCTGTCACCAGTCGGATTAAATGAGGGTTTTTCCTATACACCCTTTATTGCCGACTAGTGAACTATGGTCTGAATATGCCTCTTTCCCATCTCATCTCTATTAGCATACGATTTGTATATATTTACTTCTTTATAAATTAGCCTAATATGCCTGATACACTTGTAAATTTTGTAATATAGCGTGTGTAGTGTTTATATATGTATATATATTTTTCTTATTCTTACATTTTTGTTTATTAATTATGATAT